GAGGTTACAACTTGCACCCTCTACGGTTCAGCATTGAAGGTGATATTAAGATATCGATATGGGAGAACGACATTTTCCTACCCAAGGTTTAGCCAGTTGAGCCGCGAGAAATCCATTATCAATAGGGAGAACGGCATTTTCCCACCCAAGGTTTGGTCAAACGACTCTTTTCCATCCATCAAGTTTCAAAATAACACTTTCCCACTATTCATCAGGTTCTGTTAATATTTGATTGAAAAAACGAAAATACCATTAAATAGCTTATTTCTTAATTAGTTTATTATAAATTAAAATTTAGTTAAGTCAAAGTCTTATTCAATTATTTATTAGTTTAAGTGTAAAGATACATTTTTTCTTTTATTTATTTAATTAATTATGAATATTGATTTTCTATGTTACTTAGTAAAAATAAAAAACATTATAAATTTAATAGATTATTGAATAATAGTAATGAGATATTGATGACATTATCAATAAATAAATAAATAAATATTAAGGTCTTTTAACTTTAAATAATTTTATAGCATTACTTCTAACTTTTTAGGTGGGATTAATTATTTTTTATTTTTTGACTTTTTAATTAATTAAAAAATAATAAAATTTTTATAAAATTAAATATTTAAAGATTTTTTTATTTTTTTAATAAAATATTAACGAAAAATATAACAAAACCTAAGAACGGTAAAAAATGTATCATTTTGAAACTTAAAAAGTGAGAAAATATCGGTTGGCAAAACCTGGGTGGGAAAATGCTGTTCTCCCTATTGATAATTGATTTCTCGCGGCTCAACCCGCGTTTTGAGTTGGCTACTTGGCTAGTTATTGACTTGTCAAGCCGTCTCTTCTTTTAAAAAAGAAAAAAACAAATTTAAAATACTTTTAAAACTCTTCGTTAAGTGTTGACTCTGAATAGTCAGTTTTAGTCCCTGTGGTTTCAGTTTTTCATTTTAGTCCAATTATTTCAAATATTTTAACTTTGGTCCTTGTTCCAAATTACTAAGTTTTGATNACAATTCAGCACATACATCTTCATGAACTTGAGCTTAGCTTCAAGCTAGAAACATATGGTACAAATTGACTCCAACAAATAGAAACGACTAAAGGCTTTCAGAATAATCTTATGTCATATAAAATAAAAAGAAAATAGAAAAAAAAAAAAATTACCTCTGAAAAAGCACAAGCTCGAACGATGTGCTTGTGCTCAAATGAGTGCAACTCGTCTCCAGTTAATGCATCCCATACTTTCCTGCACACATAATTTTAGTGCAAAGTTCATGTGAACCTATTTATCTATAATTAAACACTTCACTATCAAGTACCAAAAAAAACTTATCAGCATATTAACTGTACGGAATTAACACCAAGAAAATGATGTCTCTATCTCTATCTCTGGCTCACCATCAATTACAGATACATCCAAAATACACTAAATACTCAACACTCAACGTGTTTGAAGAAACATGCCATTTCTAAAAAAATTTCGACTTATCTGACCTCTCATAGCGTAAGAATCATCAAAAGGTATCAGGTTATAAAGAATTAGATGAGAAAGTCCTATATGCAAGTTTCAGATACATGCTAAGACAAGAATTTTAAAGTTACTCTTACGAGAAAAGAGGGGTCAATTACATACGCACTAAAATCGGCAGAACCAGATGCAGCACGCATAGCATTGGTATCCAGGCAGCAACTCCACACCGCACCCTTGTGACCTTCAAACGTCCCTATCCAATCTCCAGTCTCTCCATTTCTGAGCATGGGAGTAGAATCTGAATTACACAAGTCCAACAATCAGATTCAGCAATTGAAAATTTTATTAGATTTGCTACAAATAAAATTAACTATCATTCCAACAAGCTCATGTCAGCATATTTGTATTACAGAGTCGATTATACAATCTTCTTTTCCAATTCAGCATCTCATTGCGCTTATAACTATGGATTAAATCAATCCAACACTAACACCAAATCATCCTAGGATTCCAAATCAATCAACGATCACAAGCAATTACAAATATACTGACATTTAGAATTCCAAAATAAATCAACGATCACAAGTAATTACAAACTTATACTGACATTTAGAATTCCAAAATCAATCAACGATCACAAGTAATTACAAACTTATACTGACATTTAGAATTCCAAAATCAATCAACGATGACAAGAAATTACGAACTTACACTGACATTACCATAAATTAGTATTCAAAATCATCAACGATCACAAGCAATTACAAATTTATACTGACATTATAATAAATTAACAGGAAAAAAAAAAAAGAAAAAAGAAAATGAAGAGATGCGTACCCTTGCTAGCACTGATGAGGAAAAATCCATCGGGAGTAATAGGACTGTAAAACAGATCCACTACGGGCCTAGAATGGCCGTGGCATACAAGCGGAACGGCAACCTTTTTCTTATCCATCCCTTTAAAATAATCAATATTCAATTAAAATGGTTTTAAATTGAGATGAGAAAATGATATTGAAAAAAAATTGGATTTACAGAAATGGATATAGCGGGTGGTATTGGGGTAATTTACATAAATCTACNGGAGAGAGTCGTATTTTGAAGGCTGAAGGCTGAACATGATACGATTTATTCATTCAATTTTGTTTTTAGTTTAATTATGTGTTTCTAGATTAATGGATTGAGGGCTGATGAGCCCTACCTATATTTCCAAAATTAATTTTCAATTAATGATTTGATGCCTTTATGTCCCTTGTTTTTTTTTTTTTAATTATTATTATTTTATCTTTAATTATCTCTAAGTGACCGAGTGGTTTAATAAGTTTTCTTTGATGTATTACTCAAGAGGTCTTGAGTTCAAGTCCCTTCTCGATTGCTAATAGGGATAGCCAGTGAAGTTCTTATCCGATCCTTAGTTTCAAGGTCCTGAAAGATTAGTTCAGGTGCGCATAACTAGCCCGAGCACTCTCAATCATTAAAAAAACAAAATTCTCCTTTATCTTTAATATAATGTATTATTGATAGTTGGGATTGTTTAACTAATTAAACCCTGTGATGAATGTTTATTTAATTTCTTTGACTTATTGTTTTTCATTGAATTGGATACATTGAATGCTTAGAAATTATACCTTATTTTGATTGAATGCTTAGAAATTATACCTTATGTTGAAGAAGAACTGACATTATATTTATCGAATATTAACAGAACCTGACAAATGTTGAGAAAGTGTCTTGAAACTTGACAGATGAGAAAGTGTCGTTTCACCAAACCTTGGGTGGGAAAATGTCGTTCTCCCTTATTAGTATTTGTATTTGCTGTAGCTGATTTGCTAAAAATCAGTAAGTCTGAGTTGTGACAGGCTGTATTTGTTGATATAGATATTGTATTACTTATTTCTTAAACATAAATATAAATTTATTAATTTATTGCCTATCATGAGCCTAGTTAGTAAATACGGGTACGGCAAAAAAACGGTAATGGAAATTTTACGGGTATAATACGGCAAACGGTGAAAAATACGTTTATAAAAATTCGGCCATAAAATTCAGATACGGAAAAAATATGGTACGGGTATATACGGGTTTAATACGGTGCATTATTAATAATACGTTTTGAAAAATACGGCAATATCAATCTTAGTTTTAACATTTTTATGGACTATCTGGTTAAAATCAATATAGCATTTCAAATGCAAAGTATTTAATTAACTAATAACACAAATACTCAATATATAACTGATATTCAAATTATAGTCTCCAGACCTCTACTGTATTGAACAGGAATATTATTTCTTCACAAGGAACCAAGCATTCCTTCATAAGAATGATCGTCCTTGTAAAGAAAATCGTTTGTGTTAGTTCAACCGTCATTTAGTCCGTCCCATCCCGGGTATAGTGGGAGTAATGGACGGATAACTCTGCTAGTATGTTAGGTTGGAGATTGTATTTATAAAGTAGTCATTCTAATGATAAGTGATAACCATTGTAATGGACCAAAGATTGGAGTGTTTTAAAAAAATGATTCATTTAAGAATCCAATTCTCTTGGTTTGCCACAAGGCCCAACCCAATTCGGGCCTAAAAAAATCAAATCTAGTAAGGCGCATGTAGTACAAAGTATTACGTCTTTGTGTTGTGATATAAAAATGATAAGTAGGACATTTTTGTTGGGCCAATTTATTCTGCTACGATGTGCGCTGCACGCAGCTGCGCGCATCTAGGTTAAGAGGCCCCTATTTGAGCCGATTCCTATCATTAATGAACGACGTTCCAAAGAAAAGTCCACTGACTTTTCTTTCGTAATTTCTGCAATTTCCAGTTCTTTGTTTATACCAACAATACCAACATAAATGCAATACACCAAAACTGTTCCCTCTTTGTAACATTAATTTTAGCGGTTTTTAATTTGTCTTTCCCCTTTTTTTTCCTTTTCGAAGTGGACGATTCCAATGAAGGGGAATTACAGCTGGGAGGGTTGATGAACGGAACCCTACCGTGTGGATCCTGCTGGAGAATATGAGGGGAACCAGCAGTTTAGTTCATATGAGACTCCATGTTTGATCGTCTGAAACAAGACGTTGAGAAATCAAGACTAGAGTGATGGCTCACCCTTGGCTGTCGTATTGTGCTTTGAATGCCCCACCGCATGGCGAACAGTGATCATGGTTCTTTATTCAATCTTTCCGGTTTCCCATCAATTGATGCAATTGCTCTGTTTTTAATTATATTTCTATGATTTTGATTGAAAATTTTGTAATCAAGATTCTAGTTTTCAATAAATGTGATTGTGTATTTGTGACATTTGGACCTTTTTTATATTGGTGCTTACGTGAACGGGGATAATTTTATAATTTTGGATACAAAAATCTGAACAGTAATTTGATAGGATTTGCCCCCTTAGCTCTTTAGCTGACAAAATTGGCTGCCAATCATACTGTTTGTCACATTGACGTGTGATCTGAATTCTATGCGGAGTAATTGATAAATTCATCATTCAATTAACATTTTGGGGAATTTTGGTTTGCTCACGTTACGTAAAATATGTATTTTATCATGTTTGTATGTTCTTTGTGTTGTTTGGGGATCTTAGTTTGAATTCCTATTTACATAGATACAATTTTTGGTTGTGTGGTGAAGTTAGTGATCAAAACCAACAACCGATTTTTTTAAAGCCCAATTTCTAATGTAAGCACTTCTTTTTGTGTTGGAGATGGAAAAAGTGTACTGTTTAAAAAGTTGTTGTATTTCTTTTCATTTTTCTTCTCATTTCTTTTTGTGCTTTTATCTGGCATGTCGATAAGTACATCATTTTAGTTATAATGCGTGCATAGTTGTTGGTATTTTCTTTGGTTCTCGGTGATATGCTTTTGTGTGCCATCCAGGTTCATTGTCCGGGGGGACATGGATGAATGATATGACGTTGCGGTGCTGTGCAAAGCGACTCGATTGTTACTTTCCTTGATCCGCTAGTAGGGCGTTTGATTGAGGTACATTTCTCAACTTTTTAATATTGGCGAATACTGTTAACTTTACGTTATTTGGGTTTGGTGATGGAATTACACTTATCTTCCTACTTATAGGAGATTCGTTTGCATGTGCAACACTGCAGTGTCACCTATTTCTACCTTGTCACGGGCAGGTTGAGTTAAGTTGACAATTTTGAGGGAACTTCTTGGCGCAAGTAAATTCAAGTTGATGCAAGCAAGGGAAGACTGTAGTTTTTGTTTTATTTTCTTTGGTATTCTAAATATTAAGTATAAACTTGATATTCTTGCTATGGATTGCTCTGAACTCAAAGCTTTCATTCCGTTGTAATGGTAGGACGAATCTGGGCAACTAATGCTGTTTTGCAAGAGATGAGATCTCCTGTATTCTTAGCTAGTCAAGCACTGTAGTCTCTGACTATCTCTCCAGTGGGAGGTGCATGAAATCTTCTTCCCGTAGTAAGCATATCTTGTTTGAGTAATTTTTGCCCTTTGGGGAAACAACTAATTAAAGGAAATAAATGAGAAAAAACGGCTTCTTTATTTAGTTTCAATACAAAGTATTGCTGCTGTCTTCTGAAAATCTCCTTCCACTTAAGTTTTACAGTAGCTTAATGTATTGTCTATTTTTCTGATCGGTCTTTCATCTGTTGACCTCATGCTTTAAATTGTGCGTTTCAGTTGTATTTTAGCATGGGAACCTCTAGCAATAATAAAGTTACTTCTAAAAAACATGTATGAGTTAGATTATTGACGTATACAGATTTAATAAGTCTAAGTAAATTAGGAGGCCCATAAAGGTGATTACTAATAATGGTTGGTGTATAGCATGGTTGACTGATTGAGGAAAATTGGTTAGGAGGAGAGGAAAAACATTGCATTGCTGTGAGGCTAGAAATTAGCTTAGGTTTTTGATAGCTAGAGTGGGACCTAGGAATGTACGCATTACCAGTGTAGACAAGATTGCATCACGTTACTCTGCTGCTGTCATTTTTATAAGCTTTTCAAAATTTTGGGTTCGGGCATATTGATATTTTGTTTTGGATTCATGGTTATTAATAGTTTTTATTTTATGATTGCTTTTTTTATTGTGGTGTAAGTAAATGAATTTTTAAGCTATTTCAAATATTTCGAGACTTAGACAATGAAATTCCTTAACTAATGTTAGCGAGAGGAAAAAAGTTCGCAGACAAAAAAGGGGGAAGCGGAGAGAAGACGAATTTCAATATAAGAATAGAAGAGTACGTGGGGGGTTTTTTTTTCCTGCTAAATTATTTTTAGGTCCTAGGTATATCTGCCTAGCAGACATGTCGCTTCATCGGAGTTTTGATTGTACCATATTCCAAAAAGGACAAACGAGCTGAGATTGGTCTTTTATCAAGTTGGTAGTGTATTATGCCCTGTTAAGTAAAAAGTCGTTGTCTATTTCCAGGTGTTGCTGGCAGTAGGTGTGTTTGCATACCTATGGATAAAGATGGGCCTTCAGGAATTATTTCAGTGATAGTTGGGGACCGTATCCTGGCACGCTCCTATTCGTTTTACTATGTATTAGGTAAAATGCTCTAATCAGTTAATATATGTAACACACACACACACCACACACACACACATGGAGTTGGAATGACATTATTTTAGCCCCAATTGAACTGTTGGAAATGCTTCAATATTGTCTCCAAATACTGTTTGGAATATTTTGATATGGAACCTAATTTGTTGGTTCCTTTGTCATTGCGTGCCATATTTCTTTGGTTCTACCTGCATGGTGTCTAGAACAAGGAGTAAATTGGGTGAAAGTAGAATACTCCTGATGTGTCTGTGTGTGCTTGATGCATATAGACACGTTTGTCTGCATATGGTCGTTTAGTATTACCCAGGGGTCATGCCTTCTTTGTGCTTGCATTGGATTTTTGGCGCGGGGCGGGCTGGGGCCTCATAGGGTCTAACATTGTTTCCTCCACAACATTAATGACGCACGCACCCCCCACCCCACCGCGATGAGTAACTGCCAAAAACTCGCTAGGCTATGGCTGGGGTATCTTGGATTGTTTCCTGCATCTATGGAAGCATGTTTTGCCGGTTATGGTTTGTTTT